ATAAACGTGGGAATTCAAACTGTCGACGTAATGGATGATATAGCTTGAATAAGTATGTTTAAGTAGGAGGCTTGAGCATAGCTAAGTAGTGCACTTGGCTGGATAGATTGGAAGCGCTTTAGCTAAACATGACGTCATCAGATGTTTTACGAACACACTACAACAGTCACGTGATTTGGTGCCGCGCTCACTGCTTCACAGAATCACCACACAAAGTGGTTATTACTGCATACACGAAGCACAAACCTTGCCGTGCTTGTCCATTCGCGAATGCTACTGAAGGATTTGGGCGAACGAAATCAGCTTGCGGACAGATTAGGATAGAACCGGGGCCCCGAAAACCGCAAACGCCAAGTGGCAGTAGGTTTGGCGAGTCCAGACCAGTCTGGCTACTTGAAACCTATTCGGTGAACATCGAAACGGTGAAACATTGCTCTACTCACACAGTTTATTTGAATTTTACCCACTCATCTGACGAACCTGGTTCACCGTTGGCGGTCTTTCTACCCTTTGCAGCCACGGCCTTGAAAGATGCTCCACGGACGATGTCTTCCTAATAGATGTCATACGCTCGACCGACAGTCAACGCGGAGCATCGAGTAATTACAGGAAAACGCTTTGTATTGCGGGAATTTGAAAAAAAACTCGGCGCGTCTACCAGTGCTCGAAACGCACCGAACGTCAGGCGACTGATGGGTGGATGATCTCCCATCCATTACGTCTGGGGATGAGTAGTCACCACTACCCACGAGTCGAAGTCACCTAGAAAGGTAAACTCAACGTTACACAAAGACCCTCTGCTGAGAACAACGTCACCGACGGGCTCGAAATAGCTCGGTGGTTAAGGCGCCGAGCAACTGGACAAAAGGTTCGTGGCCTGAAGCCAACCCTGGCTTTTCGACTGCTCTTGTCTAGGCTTGAGCGACCTGGCAGTATGTCAGCTCTCGGCAGCTGTCCACCGGAAGGGTGCCACAATTGAATGATTGACCTCAGCCAATTGAATGTGAATGATTGCATTTCACACCTACCCCACGATTGTCCTGCTGCTCCATGCGCTTGTCAGGAGACGGACTTAACAGGACTGAATCGCGCTGGAAAAAGCAGCTCCCACCAGAACATCCTCAGATCCTTGGTAGGTTTGTCCCATACTCCAAAACGAAATAAACACATGCTAATTCACTGGTCTGACTGACAATAGCTTGCAACGCCGACCGCTTTGTGCATAGTTTGTCGCCATCTACAGAGGCACTCACTGGACGTCTGAAGTAAAAGCCACAAGGAGAGAACCATGCAATATCTTGGAAAGGTGTCAGTGACACCGAAGTCACGAAGAAAGAAAAAAGCGTTGGTTGTGTTGAATAGGACTTGGACTTTGCCAGCGGGGGAGTTTTGATTCATCCAGGTTTTGTCAGAAGTGACCTTCTTAGTAAAGTCTAGCTCGCAGTGAGCACCTTGAACGTCGTTACAAGGAAGCACCTGCTCAGGAGGTTGGATGTCTCAGACGAATCATCAACAGGATTTCTAGATATCTAGTGAAGACACAGGGAGCTGACCAGTGAACCAACTGGAAACGGGCTGCTACCGTTCAGCTGCAGCACCCTTTCGGTGCCTAGTTGCCATACCACACAAAGGAGGCACGAGGGCTGGGATACGGCCAGGTTGCCCAAACCTAGACAGGGGAAGTCGAGAGACACAGAGATCGGGTTCGAACCACGGGCCTTCCTGCCAGTAAATTCGCGCTCTAACCACTTGGTCCATCTCGCCCGCACGGGCTGCTACCAATCTCGAATTACTAACTTGAAGGGTAGAATATCTAAACAACGGTAAAAAGAGCTCAACTTTCATGGCAGTCCAGGAAAACTCTAAAGCATATGTCCATCTCAGGATGTATATCAGTGGAGCCGATCCATTCGAGAACAAAGTGACTTTCCCCAGACCGGACTCGACCACAAAAAACGACATCCATTTTAGGTGTACCACAAGTCAATTGGCTACGGACTTTATCCGCATACTTATCGATCCCAGCGGAAGACCAATCCAAAAGCTCGGAATTTTACTGAATGCTAAAAGTGAAAGTGTGGTCTGATCTAGGATACCTCGGCCGAATGAGTGAAGCTCACCAGGTGGACGCTAAGAGATGCATATCTCACTGGTTAGCGCTAGCGTGAACCCGGCTACAACCTTATTGTTGATAGATTCCTCGAATTGGGCAGGCCGTCCGCAAACATATACTTAACATTAAAATAGAGACCAAACAAGAATATCTTTGTAATGTACTGGCTGGTTAGCGCGTGAACCCGGCTACAACCTTATTGTTGATAGATTCCTCGAATTCGGCAGGCGGTCCGCAAACATATACTTAACATTAAATAAAAGACCAAACAAATATATCTTTGTAATGTACTGGTCATAAGGTTGATGAAAATCCGTCGACAACCCATGACTGGTTTCGCCCTTTTTGGGGCTCATTAGGTAGGCGGTCCCAGGGTTTCCGTCAACCTTATGTTCTACTTGAAACCAAAT